CTTACCTTGGCATTATGTAACTTGTTTCTTATTTTTACAGAGGCTCACAGCTAAGACTTTATATTGAGTTTTAGATGAGACCTGGACTTTTATAAAATGTTGGAAATTTTGAGACCTTGGGGTTACATGTGAGACAGCTGTATAATGTTAGGCAGAATTATGAACTTGCTAGTGTTTAAAAATTAAGTATGGTTTAAGGAGATGTGTTTGGTATGAAGTTGACAAGGGGTGAATTATGACTATTAATCTGGATATGTCAACTTCAATGGAATAAGAAATATCTAAGAGATAACCCACCTGGGTTTGTCTGGATATGTCATGGAGGCATGGTTTTTTTTTGCTTTGCTGTTTCTTTCTTTTTTAAACAAGGTCTTACTGTGTAGTCCAGGCTGGCTTTGAACTGAGGATAATCTTCCTGCCTCAACCTCCTGAGTGCTGCAACTATAGGTATGTGCTTCCATACCTGGCTTGGAGGCATGATTTTGAGTACTATTTATGATACATCACTTGTTTCTCTTTGGCACGGTCTGTTATTTTGCTTTCCAAACACAATGAACTGAGCAGCTTATTCCACCATGCCCTTTATCCGTGATGTTCCTATCTTGGAGCCATCTAACCATGAACTGAATTCCACAAAACTGTGGGCAAAAGTAAATCTCTCCCCTTTTAAGCTGTGGGTGTTGGGTATTGTGTCTACCCAGAAGAAAGCAAAAATGTATACCATTTCAGTTGTTTTAATTTGAACTTCTATATTGATGTCAAACTTATTTTTATGTACTTTTTGGCCTTTTGTATATTCCATTTAGAGAAGTATCTACACCTTGATTCTTTGCTTGTTTTATAATTAGATTGTCTTTTATTATTGGTTGTTGCAGTTCTTTTTTTTGGGGGGGGTACTGGGGATCGAACTCAAATCCTTGCGCTTGCGAGGCATGCAGTGGAACCACTGAGCTAAATCCCCAGCCCTGCAGCTCTTTATATAGCCTACAAACAAGTACCTTACCAATTAAGTTATTTGCAAACACATTATCTTATTCTGTAGGGCAGTCTTTTAACTTTAAGGTAATCTTTAAAAGGCAAAAGGTTTTACTTTTGACGATGTCCACTTATTCTATTTCCTTTTGTTGCTGTGCTTCCAAGAAACTACTGCCAGGGCTGCGAATTTAGCTCAGTGGTTCCACCACCTGCCTAGCAAGCATGAGGACCTGAGTTTGATCCCTGGTACCAAAAAGAAAAGAAAAGAAAAACCACTGTCAAATTTAAGGTAAATACAGATTTATTCCTATTGTTCTTTGAAGGATTTTACAGCTTTAGCTCTATGTTTATGTCATTGAAATATTTTAATTTTTTACATAGGGTATGAAATAAAGGCCCATCTTCATTCTTTGTGTGTGGCTATTCAGTGGTCTTAGTTGAAAAAAAATGTATTCTTTCCCCACTGAATGGTTTTGGCACTCTTGTCAAAAACTAACTGACTGGGGCCGGGGATTTAGCTCAGCGGTTCGGTGGCCTGCCTTGCAAGCGCAAGGACCCGAGTTTAATCCCCGGTACCAAAAATAAAAAAATAAAAAAATAAACCAACTGACCACACATAAATACGTTTATGAGTTTTCTATTATTTCATCGATCTGTGTCTGTCTTTGTGCAAATTGCACATCATCTTGATTATTGTTGCTCTGTTGTGATTCCTAAAATTGGGAAGTAGGAGTTACCCCACTTTCTTTTCTTCTTTCTCAATTTTGTTTTGACTATTCAGGGTCTCTTGCAAGTCCATGAGAATTTTAGACTCAGTTTGCCAATTTCCACAAACAGGGTTAGCTGGAATACTGATGAGGGTTGAATTAAACCTGCAATCAGTTTGGAATGTATTGCCATCCAAACAATTTTAAGTCTTTAAATTCATGAGTACAGGATAGTTTGTCCTCTTATTTTCAGGGAGTATGTTCCAAGACTCCCAGCAAATGCTTAAAATGGCAGGTAATACCAAATCTTATATACTGAGTTTTTCCTATGTATATATACCTATGACAAAATTTTATTTGTAAATTAGGTAGAGATTAACAATAAATTATATCAGTATACTGTATTAAGAGTTGTAAATTATTTCTGGAATATTCCATTTAACATTTTTGGATCATGGTGACCATCTATAACTAAAACTGCAAAAGGTGAAAACACAGTTAATGGGAGGGACTACTGTATTTGTAAGTTTAACTACACACAGGCTATACATTTAAAGTCTTTCTGAATATTTCTTGTAGTAAAGTATGTATATAACAGCTATGATCTATTGGTTAATAAAGTATTTTGTATTAATTTAAAACTTAGAAGATGTAGGTAATAGGCTATTTAATAAGTAATACTTCGCTCTCAAATTAATCCAAAGAGTTTACAATAGCATTTTCAAAGATAAAGTTTAAAAATTAAAGAGTGAGAAATTTCTCTCTGACACCTTTGTCATTCACTTAAAGGCATTCTCACTGTATTTAGCTGAGAGAAGGAAAAAGAAGAGGAAAAAAAAGGGAAGAGATAAGAAATGGGAAGAGAAGAGAAGAAAATAGTATTTAATCCCTTCCCCAATTTGAGAGGAAAAGAGAACAGGAGTATGAAATAACCATTATTAGCCAGGTTCAGGGGCATATTCCTGAAATCCCAGCTATTTAGGAGATGGAGTGAGGATGATTCCAAGTTTGAGCCAGCCTTGACAACTTACTAAGACTCTTACCTCAAAATAAAATTTTAAATTTGAGAAGCTCTAGATTCAATCCCCAGTGCCACCAAAGGGGGGAAAAAGAGAGAGAGGAACCATTACTATTGATATATATTAATTTTAATAATTTGAAGTCCATAGATTGTTTAAATTATTCTAATCACAAATAATCCCTTATATAATACTTAGGCAATCATCTCAGTTCCAAGCTAGCTAACTATAATCATTAGTGACCCTAATTCTCACAGGAAATGGGCATGTGCTTCATTCAATTTCCAAAATCATTTCTAAATCTCCCAGAATATCATACTGAAGTGGATAAAAATTAAAGCAGAAAAAGGAAATATTATTTTTTAAAAGAAAAAAAATCCTCTGGCCTACAGTTTCCTATTAATAATAGTTTAACTGGTGGGCCAATATCCATTTTATATCCATCCAAGTACCTAGAATTAGGTTACTAAGATTTCATCTACAGGGCTAAAAAGGCAATTGTTCTTGTTCCACAATGATTCAGATTGAAAACCTTGGCTGTTTCTCTGCAATTGTCCTGATAACAGACCAGCCAGCATTTCTGGACTTGATCAACCATTACACATGCCCTGCTGAACAAACGAAGTCCAGGAAACCATCCTATACAGTAACTATACATTTGTTCTACCAATTTAAAGCCTAATGATATTTCTCCTCTACACAACACTTCCTTTTCAAAAAGTTTCTTTGCAAATTCTCCTAAGTATCCATATTTAAAAACCCTAAGTCACCCCAGGACTCCATACTTTTTTTTTCTAATTTAATATCTTGTTCTTTAAACACATTCCATAATTTAAGTAAGAAAAAAACTACTTTCTAAGCTCTCATATGGCAATGCTAGGCTTTTCATCACATAGCAATGACATTTTAATATGATAGTAAAAAAAACTCTCAAGATTCTTATCAAATAATAAATATGAAAACTATCTTCACAAAGTATCTCATGTTGGAATGTCTTACAAATCTTCAAGAAACCCTAACAGGAAAAAAACTTATATTCTTAAGATTTTACAGAATCAAAACCCCGAAACCGTAGTCTAATGTACAAAGATAACAAACACAGAGGACTTCAAAACACTTCAAGAAGTCATGAATCCTTAATTTCATATTACAATGTTTAAATGTACAATGTATATAACTATACATAATATTATTTTAAACAAACTAACCAATTCCTTAAATTCTTATTCCTAGTCTAATACTTTCCAGACCTTATTCAACTATGTATTTCAGCAATATCTAGTCCAGTGGTGGCAACCTATGAATACAGCTGCAGCTGGCTATTCTTTATCATTAAAAGCTCTAAAAGGTTCACCATCATTGATCTAGGCTCTCATCCTGCCTAAAGAGACTTGTTAAAGTGAATTTTAGGTAAATGTATGGGTACTAGGAAATCTGTGGGGAGAGATAGTATCAAGGAATATCCAAAGAAGCTCATGTCAAATGTCACAATTTATACTAAGTCTGTGAGTACAGAACAAAGACATAAAAGATTTGCTACTAGTAAACAATTCAGAAAGAAATTCAAATGCTGTCTTCTCCCACTCTAAAAAGGCCTGTAAGAAATAAACTAACCCTCTTTCAAACATAGTGGATTGTTTCACGCTGTGAATTATGATTATACATTTCTAACTGGAAAAACTAAAGCCTATTCACAATGGAAAAATAATTAAAATATCCTGTTTTGAAATAAGATTATGGTGTTATGAAAAAACCTACAATGCTACTTTGGTAGCAAAGGGACAAGCAATCAAATCGGAGTGGTATGAAGAAAATCCTTTTTCTCACTTCATTTCATTAAAATTTCTTCAAACACACCAAACTAAAAGAAGTATCTATTTTGTTTTAAGGAATTCTGAAAAATATAGAGAAGTATAAGGAACCGAAAGTCTCATAGTATACACGAATCATTACGGTTCCCAAAGATTCCTCACTGCTTTAATAACTGCTCAATAAGGGTTGTGAGGGACCTACTAGATTACACCGTGTATTTCTACTATTGAGAACACACAAACACATACGGGTTTAATTCATACCAACACCTGCTTCTCATTTAAATGTTTCAAGTAGATGCAATAATTCCAGAGAGAGAAACTATTATTGTAGCTACTTTTGGTCTAAGGTTACCTGATCCATGTACATGAACATTATTTACAGTGACTGATTCACATGGATCTCCCCAGGAAATTATCATCAACAGAAAGCTCAAATAAAGACAATAATCTCATACAGAATTTGCAGCTCAGCAAGACCTACATACCGGCAAGTCCACACTAACATCAGTACCATCCAGAAGGGATACCCGACATGTGATGATGGACTTGGAATCTCCAGATGCAGGAATGTGTGTGGCAGCTCGTTGTGCCTCTCTGAGTCGTTCTTTCTCAGCATGTTTACGCATGGAGCGGCGCCCCAGAGTTCTACGTAGGAAGCTCAGCATTTTGTCACTCTATAACCAGAAAGAACAAGATAATATCAGGAACAGGCTCTCCACAACTTGTCAGAAAACAGTACTATTTAGTAAAGTCCTATGAACATTAAATTGAAAAATAATTAAAATTAATTGGTTACTTTTTTTTTTTTGGTGTGCTACCAGAGATTGAACCCAGGAACTAGTTAAGTTCTAGACTGTCCAGGTTGACCTTGAACTCATGATCCTCCTCAGCTTCCCAGCTCCCAACTTTCTATACATATTTTAAAACATCATGTATATACAACAAATTTGTCAATTAAAAGTAAATTTATTTTTAAAAATTGGTTACTTTAACTCCAAGTTTAAAGGCTTTCAAGAACATTAAGGTTAAGCAAAATAGTTTAAACAGGTACTAGTAATTTTTTAAAATATAGCATGCTATATGTGAAAACACCAAATATAGGCTGGAAAAACACAAAACAGAAACATCATAGAATCAAAGCTGCCATGATAATCTAATTTATTTAATTTGCATAATCAACAGTTTGAGAATAAGTACATACATTAAGCCAAAACATAAAATTTTAAAAGGCAATGACTTAACTCCAAGAAAAATAAATTGTGCAGAAAAGGATAATCAAAGTACACTACATGACTTGGTCTCTAACAGTTCAAATAATTTTTAAAATTAAAAGTCAAAGGGGGCCGGGGATTTAGCTCAGTGGTTCGGTGGCCTGCCTTGCAAGCACAAGGACCCGAGTTCAATCCCTGGTACAAAAAAAAAAAAAAAGTCAATGGGCCAGGGATTTAGTTCAGTGGCCCTGTGCCTGACTCAAAAGCACAAGGTCCTGAGTTTGACAGCCTGTACAAAAACAATTAAAACACAGCAATTAAAAGCATGTGAATTAAAACATGAAAGTGGAGTCTCCACCAAATACCGAAAGTCTCAAGGTATGGCTTCCCTTAACCTTTCTGCCATGTCATGTAATATGAAAGCACCTAAGAGAGAGAAGCAGGATGAGGCACAGACTAAGATTAAGCACTAAGTACAAAAGAAGCATGTCCACCCTGTGCAGGTGCTCAGTGAGTTCAAAGCCATAGAGAGCATTTGAGTCCATGCTCGTCAGTTGTGCCCCCGCAACCCCGGCTCCTGTAAATCAGTTACTGTTCTGCACCCAATGTATCTGCTAAGTAGAAAACTTAACACTAATGTTAGCTCCCACAGAGGAAGCAGCAGATCTGAACCCAACCAGCTGGTAAATTCTGCAAGGACATTAATTATGTACTTGTAAGTTGGTCACAAAATGCTTGTAGAAGTCAAAGAATATTCCTAGCTATATTTTTTATAACAGTTCCATAACCAAAGAGAATCTCACATTTACTTGTCAGTAGCACTCTTGCCCCTGTGGAGCCGCCTGGGTGCTCACTGGGTGGCTGAGGAGCTCAGGCCGCAGTAAGGTGCTGAATGACCAAAGGTGATCTGGGCATCGCAGGAAACAGTCTTTGGAAAAGGAATGTAGTAGAGAGGTAGGCCATCCAAGGGATAAGCCATGTGAAACAGTAACATAATGTATTCTGAAGAAAACTGATCACTCTTTATGAAATGAAATGAGAGCTATAACCCATGGCTACTCCGCTGCAGGACATTAATGAAGTTGCTTTTCTAGGGTTAGGCTGTTGTGATGCCATAGTCAGAACTCACCCCCACTTCCAGCTCCAAATGCAAATTTCATCACTGGGCTCGCTCTAATGAGTGCAAAGTTTCCTACCTTGGGCTGGCAGCTGAAGCCTGACAGAGTAGTTTCTGCTTAGGCAATAACTGAGACTTTATTGTGATTTCTATATCGATTACTATAGCTACAAGGTATAATTTTGCTGTCTTATTTAAATTTTATGAATTTGAATGTTTTTACATTAACTTTTCTCAATAAAGTCTACTCTGAAGTCAAAAACAAAAACAAAACAACATAAAAGTGGTTTCCTGAGAGAGGAACAACTGAATTTAGAACAGCGCTTTTTTTCAAAAGAAACTATCAAATTAGATGACCTTTCAACTGGATGTGTTTATAAATCTGATAAAAAAAACTGTAATGCTAATTTTAAGATAAACATACTACCATATTAAAACATAAGTACTGTATCTATATACTGAAGATTATCACACACATTTTACAATATATACTCCTGCATAAGTAAACTAATCCCAAGGAAATAACCAAAATTTTAGCTAGCTTTCCAGTTTGCTAAACACTCATACATAACATTGCAGCTGCTTAGGTAAGACTATCCTTGTTATCCATTTGACTTCTCAAAGACTTTATGTCAGTGAATCCCTACTTACACCTACATGAATCAATATCTCTCAAAAAACATTCTTTGATATCCAGAATGCCAGTCTTTCCAATCATCACATTCCACTGAACCTTGAAAATACTTTATTTCACTAATCAGATTATAATTATTCACTAACATCTCTTGTCTCCTTTATTGTAAGCAATTTGCGGACACAGCCCTCTTCTGAATAGCTAGCTACCTAGCACAATTAATAATCCTGAGCAACAAATATTTCATAAATAATCTTATTTGGTCCCTAAGAAAGATTCCTCAGGCACTGTCTTATTTTGATGAGTTTGATTGATTGATTGATTTGGTACCGGGGATTGAACTTGGGTCCTTGTGCTTGCAAGGCAGGCAGCAGAACCACTGAGCTAAATCCCCAGCCCGAGTATTATTTTATAAATGGTGAAAACTATAAAGAGGACTCAAAGTCTGATTTTCTAATCTTGATTTCTCTCTCTACTATGCCACAGAACCACTCATGTAAAATTCACATTTTAGAGATAATGAGCTGTGCATGGTGGCACAGGCTTGTAATCCCAGCACTTGTGAGGCTGAGGCAGGAGGATTGCTGTGAGTTCGAGACCAGCCTGGACTACAGTTCCAGGTCAGTCTCAACTACATAGTGAGACCCTGTCTCAAAAACTCCAAAAAACAAAACAAAACTAAACTAAACAAAAAAATAGAGATAATAAAATCTTTTTTTTTTTTTGGTACCGGGGATTGAACTTGGGACCTTATGCTTGCAAGGCAAGTGGCAGAACCACTGAGCTAAATCCTTGCCCCAAGATTATGAAATCTTAAAAGATCACAGCTAAAAAACAAAAAAGCTGAATGAAACATGCACAGAGAAACATAAATTCATTTTTTAAAACCTAATTTATCTTATTTTACAAATAAATTACAAGAGGAAAAAGTGGAGAAGGAACTAGATACTAAAAATAAAGATTTAAGGCAGGCTGTATAGCTCAGAAGTTAAGGATGTGAATGAAGGGTATGGCCCTGGATTTAATCCCCAACTCCCAACACCAAAAAACAAAAAAACCTGGAAATACATATCAGTCATAATATACAAACTGAATTTGGATCCTGATTTAAATACATTTTTTCTTTAAGTTGTTAGAGGTTATGACTGGGGAAGTGAAAGGTATAATTTCTACAAAATATAAAGTTATTTGAAAATAAAGATCATACACATGGTGTCATGTATAGTTTTTAAGAAGCAATGCAAAACCAACTGACTCTAACCAACATTGTGTTTATAAATCTGGTACAAATAAAAGCAAAATATTAAACACTACCATATGAAAATTCAATAGCTATGAAGATTATCATTCTCATTTTACAAGTTTTCAAGCTTCTATGAAAGTAGATAAACTAGCAGTCATGACCACTGTCATTTGAACCGCCCAAAGAAATAAAATTATACACAAATTGTAACACTGACTGGATTATGATAAACAAGAACTACTGCCACTTCTAGATAAATTCATGACGTTGAAATTATCATTTAAAAAAAGGCTTTTGGCTAAGAATATAACTCAGTACTGTTAAAAAAATACACTCAGGCGAACATGCCTGTAACCCCAGGTATTCAGGAGGACCACAAACTGGAGCTCAGACTGAGCAACACAGCAAAACGTTGTCTAAAAAAATATATTTAAAGGATTGGAAATGTAGCTCCGTGGTAGAGTGCTTTTGGATTTAAACTCCCACAGTGGAAAAAGAAAAAAAAATCCCATACTCCAAAGTTTATAATGAAATGAGTACACACATATAAATAATAGTGACCACAATCTGGTAACTTTTCTTTGGAGAAATCAGTATACTAGTTTAGAGCAAATGGCATTAAGACAGCAAAATCTTTTCTTTCAGTAATCCCAATAAATGTAGAGGGAATAAGTCAACACCTGCAAGATTATACATGTTTTCTAATGTGGTCACTACGTTAAAAAAAAAAATCCTGCAAACTACCTTAATATGTCCAAGTTAATCCACTACAGTGAAAGGAGCTCAACAAAAGATTATGTTACTAACGTAGTTACTGAAGTTGTGTTACATTACAAACCTAGTTATGAATCCAGGCGTAGCACTCGCCTGTAATTCCAGCATTTTAGAAGGGTAAGGCAGGAGGACCGCAAATTTCACCTCAGCCCGGACAATTTAGCGAGATCTTGTCTCAAAAACAATTTAAAAGGGTTGGGGATGTAGTTCAGCGTGAACGCTCCGGTTTCAAACGTCAGAATAGGGGAACAGACTAGTTACGAGTATTTTTTCCCTAACTTAAAACAAAACAAACAAAAAAACCTTTTGAAATTAGCTTAAAACATTTCCAAACAGTTTAAAAAGAAGCGAGCCTTCTCTTTCTTGAGTAAAACTTATCAGACTAACCACAAAGATACGGTTTACGTTTACCCATCAAAAAACCCATCATTAACACGACCAACGCCACAGGTAGGGGCGGAGAGGGCCCGCAGCCCTGTCCACTCCCAGGAACACAGCTGCCTCCTACAATTCTTTCCAAACCGCGGAAGGATTACCTCAACTGTAAGTGGGCTTGAAAACCCACGCAGGTTTGCTCCGGGACCCCGACACACGCTCCAGGGGCCTGCGCGC